CTAAGCAAGACTATATTATGTTATTAATTCCATTTGATTATCAATTTTATTAATTGTTAATCCCATTGATTATCAATTTTATTAATTCCATTTGATTAAACAAAGAAATCATTTTTTTCTCAATTTCTATTTATTATTTATTATTTATTGTTTATTATTATTATTAATTAATATTGTTAATATATATTCTTATATTTTATAATATTAACACTACTGGTATTACTATTATTATCATTGTGATTATGATTATTATTATTATTATATTGAAGATGATAAATTGAGCATATATTTAGTTAACATCTGGAAAATCACATTGATCATAATAATATCTAACAAAAATCTTAATGGAACGACCGCATCGTACCTTTTTGAAGTAATGTAAACATCTGGAAGATATGAAAGACTATTATAAACCATGTAATAATAATATTCTTTTTTTTTTAAACTTACATTTACATAATGGAAAATGTTTTTTTACCGGATTTAATAGAAATGACAGATTTCCGGTTTCGAAAGTTAAATGTGAGAAATCCGAAAATTTGAGAAAAAAATATAACAAAAAGGAAGAGGGAAAAGAGAAAGAAACAAATATGAAATAATTTCGCTTATTTTTATGTAAATATTTTTTCCTTAAAAAATTTTTGTCTTATAAAAATTTAATTAGAAATTTTTGTTTAGATAGTGGACGTGTTGGATTTTATTTGCGGGTAACAGCGGTAGAAGATTGGTGTGAACGCGATTTCCCCGGATATTATACTTATGATATTGGACCGGTGAGCAATGAATGAATCATTCGATTTGATGAAAACTTTTGAATATTTTAAAATAATAATGAAAATATTAGAAATTGAGAAAATTATAATAATTATAAAAGAATGGGGATAATTTAAATTATATTCGTTAAATTGTTTTACATTAGATTTCGCATATAAAATATAAAATATAAAATAGATATATATATATATATATAAAATATATAATATAGATAGGATTAGTAAATAAAATAGATAGGATTAGTGACAAATCAAATAGCGAGAATTGAATGAAAAAAGAGAATTTAAAAATTGTCGTTGTATTGTTTGAAGTGAGAAATTAATATATGAAATTAAATTTTAAATTAATTATTAATCAAAAAAATTAGATTTCAAATTAATTATTAATGTAAGAAATTAGATTTTAAATTAATTACTAATTTAAAAGAAATGAATATTTGACGAATGAAACGATCTTTCAGATATTGTTACTTTATGTTGTCGTGATATACAACATTTTATAACTTTTCAAATTTCACATCATAATTTAATAAGAAATTAACAGGTGTAATTAATGCGAAGAATTTTTCGAAAAAAAGAAAAAGAAAAATTAAGAGCTGTAATAAATTAAATTTACTTAGTGAAGTAAATATTTCTACTTCTAAATTATTTTAAAATAAAATTTTGATTTAAATTTTTATCTTATCTTTTCCTCATTCTATTCCTCCATATCTTATTCTCATTCTATTCTTGCATATTTTGAGGTTAAAGGTTAAGCAATGAAGTGTAAACTTTTGACATTTTATCTATTCTTGCATATTTTAAGGTTAAAGGTTAATTAATGAAGTGTAAATTTTTGACATTTTATTCAATTCTATTGTTAATTTCATTAATGTACGAAATATGTTCAATAAAATTAAACTAAAATTGTCGACAAATTTTATTAAAAGTTAATTAATGAATTCATTCTAACAGTAATTATGAGAAAATAATTAATTGTAAAAAAATAATTTTAAAAAACAAAAAATTAAATAAAATTTATAGATGGAACGATCTCATATTATTCCCGCGACAACAAGTAATTCTGAACCGTTGGAAATTCAACATGATTGTACATATCTTGTACATATGCATTCAATACCATATCCTTATGGTGATCCAAATTTTGCTACCGGTATAAAGTATATGGTACCTACATGTATTGAAGGATACTGTAGCTGTGCTAGTATGTTTATTCATTTCATTCATAATATATTAACAAAATGTTCAATAAATTCATTTTTATTATTTTGATAAAAATAATTAAATTTAGATCAAAATGCTGTACCAGTAGCTGAAAATGTATCAGTTCGAACATTTCAAAAAGGTGGCACTATAAAAGCAGCTGTTAGTTGGATATATCCCGCTATCAGCGGTCATACGCATCAGTTTCGATTTGATCTCAGCGAAAGGTATTTTTTGTTTTGTTTCTTTTTTTATTCTTTTCTTTTTCCATTTTTTTTATCAGTCTCTTATTTGCGAATCAATAATTTCTATATTTTATTATGATTTTTAATTCTCTTATTAATTAATCAATAATTTGCATATTTTATCACTTTGGTTAATCAATTATTAATTCATTTATGTTTTATTTAGAAAGTTAATAATAATTTTAGATTTTATCATAACCATCTCAGTTTCGCTAATTCAAATGCATTCAAATATCGTATCGCTGATATGCCATCACATGTTGTCTATGCTGAAGAGGTAAATGTTAATAATATAATATAATATACATAATTAAAAGTGTTAAAACAAACGATAATAATTATCATAATTCAGGTTTAGATTTAATTTGCATTCGTTTTCTTTTGTTTTATTTATTTAATTAATTACTAGATTAATTTATAGAATGTAACATCGCTTTCAACTGTATTACCTATCGATTTAGCACCAAATGAGGAATATAGATTGACAATTTTTGCAATGAATGACCAGTTGTGTCACAGCGATGATGTCACTGTCCCATTTTTTACTGGGCTAATTTTGACCGATGATAGTACATTACCAGTTGGTCAGTTTTTTTTCTATTTATTTTTACCTATCCGAATAATTTAATTTAATTTAATTAATTCAGTATATATAAATTATAGAAATTAATTCAGTAATAATGAAGTATTTTGTTAAAATACAAATAAATTATATTATGATAAATCAAGGTAAGAAGATTAAGATGAAATATTAACATTTGCATTAGCAACTAAGTATGAATTCTAATGGTAAAATTTGTTTAAATTAAAATGATAATATATTACAAAAATAGGCAGTGATAATCATACCGAAGATTTCTATCAAAAAGAATCATACAATGTAACCGATGTGGAAAATACCGATAAGAAACCACCACTAATTAACGAAATACCAGAAAAATCCCTTTATTCACCCATAATTATTTTGGCGACAACATTTGCGCTTGTAACAGCTATTTTAATGGCTTGTTGTATTGCATATTGTTTGGTGCGGAAATTTTATAAAAATGGCAAATCACAAATTGAAAAGTCATCAGTTATACCTTGGGCAATGGCTCATTCCAGGTAAAATAAATTGTTTCTTCTTTTGTAAATTTTTAAAATTTTCCAAATAATTCAATGGCTCAATTAAATAATATAATTCGTTCATCTTTTTTCACGATATATACATATAATCAAAATTCCTGAAATTACTGAAATAGTTAAATATAATATAAATTTTTTAAGAGAGATTAATGGTAAAGTTTGCTTTTTAAGGTACCGTACATGCTGCATTTGGTACTGTATATGCATTTGGTACCGTACATATATATATATAGAGTAAACAATTCCTACAGCTTTTTGTTTTTAAAAAAATTAAATAAATAAATAAATAAATAAATATGAATGTATTTATGCTTGTTTATTAATTTTCAGCAATATATATTCATTTGTTTAATTTTTTTAAGAAACAATAAAACTATAAAAATTGCTTACTATTACATTTTAACTTTTGGAATTTTAAATTATTTTTATTTATTTTAATTTAACAAAATAAACAACTAACAATGAAAATAATTCTTTCAGCCATTCAATGCTCGAAACAAACATTCTCTATCGTCAAACTAACAATTTAGCTTCACAAATTAACTTCGAAATACCATTTAATCAAATTCAGGTTGGAGGTATCATCGGACAAGGTTCATTTACTTTCCTATAATTTACACCTGTAAAGTTAATTGAATAAAAAATATTCAAATTTTCTGAAAAAGCTTCAACTAAACAAAAACAAAATGAGAAATGAAGAAAGCGAAACAAAGAAAGAATAAACAATTATTTCACAAATGGATTAAATTTTCGATTGAGAAAAATTTAAATTTCTAAATCTGCTGAAATAGTGAAATTTAAATTTTTATGGGAGGTAGGATGAACGGTAGAATTAATGGTGAAGTTTACTTTTTTAGGTATATTTGACACCGTACTTATGGAACTGTTTATGGTATTTAGATATATTGTTTTAGGTGCATTTGGTACCGTATGTATGGGTACAGCATATGGTGTAGAAGGTTATATTGGTCCAACAACAGTTGCCGTTAAACAATTAAAAGCTAATGCTGATGAGAATGAAAGGCGTGAATTTTTAGCTGAAATGGATATTATGAAACAGGTAATTTTATTTAATTATTAAATGAAATGATGAAGTTGAACAAAGAAAAACATTGAATTAAATTAAAATCAAATTAAATTGAAATTCTCTGAAAATTTAAATAAAAATTTATTAAAATTTTTCAAAAAAAAAACGATTAATCAAATTATCAAATAATAATAATAATATTTGTAATTTTTATTAATTACAGTCTATCTTAATTATTATCATTGACTATCTTTAAATGATAAGTATACATATATACCTTCTAATCAGTAATTGTACTAAGAAAGATAAGGAATTAAGTATATATTAACATTTGTTTATATTTACATCAATCATAAAGCTCTTTAAATTTGTTTATTTTATTTTCTTTTTATCAACGATCACTTGCATTTGCAATATTTGAAGAAGTGATAATTTGTTTATTTATCAAATTATCAATAATTTTAGGAAAATTTATTTTCAACTGTTTGAATGAAATTTATCGATCAAAATTTTGTACAACAAAAATTTGAGGAAAATTATTTCAGGTTGGAAGACATCCAAATATTGTTGCAATGTATGGTTGTTGTACAGAACCAAATCATCAATGTATGATTATGGAATATGTACCATTCGGAGATCTCAAACATTATTTGCAAAATCTTCGAAAGCAAGTACGAACTTATTCACAATATATAATCATTATTTGTTGTCATGATAACGTTGAATCAATCGTTATATGTTATCGTGATAATATCAAACTAATCATTATTTGTTATAGTGATAATTCTAAGCATACTCATGTTTTTATAATTTTGAACTCATTAATATGGCAATAACATGGCTGCATCATTCATTGCTAACATATATAATTATTATTTGTTACATATCGATAACTCTAAACTTGATTAAGAATTAATCAATATACATAATCATAATTTATTATCGTAAAATATAAATACACTCATATCTTTATTATTTTTAAACTTTGATAAATTAAATTAATCATAATATATAATCATTATTTATTATGGAAACAAAATAGGCAAATTCATCTCTCTATAATTGCCAACTTAATTAAATTAAACTGATCAATAATTATGATAATATATGAAGAATCAGTTTGTTATAGTTTGATCGAGCGATGGTAAATATGAAATCATCATTTTATGGTCATGATGCGCCAATTAGTCCATCATTACCGCCATCGATGCATTCATCATTTCTTTCAAATTTGGATGATAATTCACCACATAACGAAACATACCATATGGATCCTATTGAATTGCAAAGTTTTGCTATTCAAGTTGCTAACGGAATGGTAAATATTTTTCTTTTTATTTTAAATTAATTAAATTTTTAAAAATTAAAAAAAAAAAACAATCATAATAATAATGATAATAATAAGTGGTAACTATTCATTCATTTTTAAGGCGCATATTGAATCATTGGGTATTGTTCATCGAGATTTAGCTGCCCGAAATATCCTAGTTGGTCGTGGTAATCAATTAAAAATAAGTGATTTTGGTTTATCACGACATGGTGTTTATGTTAAAACAAGTAAAGGTGTGATACCACTTCGATGGCTATCAGTTGAAGCCATTCAACGAAATATTTATTCAACAAAAAGTGATATTTGGGTTTGTCTTACCATAATTCTTACTAAATAACAAATAAAATTAAATTAAAAAAAAAAGAATATATTTATTAATAAAACAATAATGAATAATGGAAAAATTTTAAGTTATTCATTATTAAATTTTAAGTAATTAATGAATTCGAAAAATTATACAACAATTTCTGTATATTTGAAATATTTTTGTTTTAATTTAAAATTTAAATATATTTGAAATATTTTTGATTTGATTTAATTGATTTTTCCTTTTTCTCTCTCTTCTATTTTTTTAAAGTAAGAGTTATATATATAATCAAATGAAATATTGTAAAGGTAAACTTGACTTTATTATTGCAAAGGTAAACTTGGCTTTATTATTGCAAAGGCAAACTTGGGCTTTATTATTGCTAAGGTAAACTTGGCTTTATTTCAAGAAAAAAATATTGCAAAGTAAACTTGGCTTTATTTCAAGAAAAAAAATATTGTAAGGGTAAACTTGGCTTTATTTCAAGAAAAAAAATATTGTAAGGGTAAACTTGGCTTTATTATTGAAAAGATAAACTTGGCTTCATTTCAAAATTAAATACTTACAATTCATCTCTATGTTTTACACATGTTTATATGTATGTGTATGTGTGTGTCTGTATATGTATGCATTATGTAAAATAGTAGTTCAAGTGTACATCATTCATTGAAATTAGTACAATTTTTCAACACAATTAGTCCCAAAGCTATCATTCATTTGCTTTACATTTCAATCATTATCAATTCTTATCTTATCTTATCTTATCTTATCATAGCTCATTATTATTTTCCTCGTTTTGCAGATGTTATACTGATCAGTAAATGTTATAAAATTCACTTCATTAAAACGAAAAAAGCTTAAATTCTCACCTCTTCCAAAATGCCAGTTGTTACTTCCTCTTCTTCTCTCTCCTCCTTAACCGTTTCTCGGCTCCACATTTTCTTTCATCCTATCTTTCCACCTTTTTACTCACTCTTACAACACCTTAGCATCAATTTATTACTTCTTACACCTTTGGCAGTCGATAATTTTATCATCCATTTATCCATTCCGGAGAAGTGTCCATTGTAGTTTGCCGATTGATTCGGTTGGTCACTCAGTCGGTTAGTCAGTCAGTCAGTCAGTTAGTCAATTAGTCTATCTGTCTGTCTATTCATCTATTCGTCTGTCCAGTTAGCGTTATTTTGTTTCACCTCATCTTCGAGCTTACAATTGAGAAAGATGATTGTTTAATGGTGCTGTGCTGATTTAGAGGGATCAGATAAATTTTGGAAAAAGAAGGATGCAATGATAAAATGATAATAAATGATAAGAAAGATGTAATCAAATGATAAGTGATAAATGATCAAAATGTAAAAATGCTAATAAGTTATAGCTGAATAAATAGTAATAAAAAGAACTACTTCAAATAATTAAATGATAAATTGATCAAGTAAAAATGTGCTAACTGATAAATGATAACTGTGATTAAACGATAAATGATAAATGATTAAATAATGGTGAAGGAAAATGTTAATCATTTGAGAAAATAGCAAAAACATCAGTTATAATGCTATTTCAATTCTTTGCTAAATCCTATAACAAATTCTATCATTATTTAATCATTTATCATTTACTATTTAATCATTTATCATTTATCGTTTAATCACAATTCTCTTATCATTATTTAATTAGTTATAATTTTATCAGTTAGCATAATAGTCATTAATTTTTAGGAATTTAAGGAATTTTTAGGAAAAGAAAAATTAAACAAAAATTTGATAAACAATTTAATTTATTTCAAATAATTTATATTTGATAATTTTTTAAATAAAAAAAGTAAAATTTTACTTATCATTAAATTTCATAAATATTCTTTAATTTTAATTAACTATTTTCAGGCTTATGGTGTCGTCTTATGGGAAATTTGTACTCTTGGCGGTTTTCCATATCCAACAGTTAGTGATAAAGATCTTCTAAAATACTTACTTCAGGGTAATCGCTTAGAGAAACCTGCATCATCTAGCAACGAAGTGTATGTTTTTCTCTATATATAATTATTTCAAATGAAAAAAAGATTTTTACAAAATTAAAAAGAATTTATTCAAAATTATATAAAATTGATTATTTCAAAAAATAGAAATAATTTCTAAGATATTTCAAATTTAATTTCTTTTTTACAAAAAGTTTAAAATAAAAGAAAAATGGAATATTTATAATTTTTAAAATTTAGATATGATGTAATGATTCAGTGTTGGTCACATAATGCAAATGATCGGCCATCATTTGCATATCTTTGTGAACATCTTAGTGATTTAAACAATCAACAATGTCCATATGTTGAATTTGTTCCCGGTGATACTCTACCACCACCTGGTATTGAATTTATTAATTTTTTAATTGTATTAAAACGAAAAAGTGACAAATTGATTAAATCATATCTCTTACGATATTTACTAATTTCAAATAGTTAAATGTTTCAAATTTTCAAATATTCTAATTTTTCAAGTTTTTTAATATAAATTAATAATATTAAATATAACAAAGAATTTATAATTTATAATTAAAAATATAAAAAACAAAAATTTTTTGTTTGAAAAATAAAGAAAGTCTTATATTTATCAATTATTGAGATTATCAAGAAATAAAGATAATATGTGATATGGAATATTTAAATTAATTATAGCTTATCATTTTTAATTAACCATGGCTTATCATTTTATCATTTTTAGTAATAAGTATACGTAAATAATTTCAGATGGTTACTGTGAATTAATTGGAAGACCAATGACACATACCGATTTGTCAGCAATTACCGATTTAGAAACGACGGAAGTTGCTGATGAGAGATAACAAACAATAAAATATTTCTTACTTTCTTTCTTTTCCATTTCTCTTCTCTTTTTCATTTGTTTTTCGTTTCTTTTTTTTCTTTCCTTCTTTTTCTGTATGCATTAATGTAATTTATTTATGCATTAAATATTTTGTAAATTCAAATACTCTTTTGTTTTAATTTAATTTGCAAAAAAAAATTGAGAAATACCAGGCAGTATTTTTTATTTTATATTTTTAAAAATTAAAACTTTTTCTTTTGTTTTTTCCGATAACAAATTTACATTTTCATTCTTTAACTTACAATTATTGGCTATTATTTGATTCGTAAGCCACGTTTGTATTTTGTTGCATCATCTGATATTTAATTGGTTCATTATTTAGCTTGTAAGCCAAGTTACTATTTTGCTGCATTAGTAATACTTAATTGGCTATTATTTGGCTCGTAAGCCAAGTTACTATTTTGTTGCATATTGTATCACATAATAAACATGTGTAATTATTGGTATATTAACAAATTTTTTAGTTAATTTAATTTCAAATTTTTACTACCGGACGAAATGCAGGTATGTTATATGCAAATATAATTAAATTTACCTTATAAATATGCTAAAAAAAATATTTGCATATTTACGTTGGAAATAAATAATCGAACAAAATTTAATTTCTCAATTCAATAAAAGAAGAAATAAAAGAAATGAAATTTGCATATAATAATAATTTTATAAATAGTATAATTTATTTTTAACTTAATTTTCAAATTCAAAAATGTTCCAATTTCGGAAAATTTTTTAACATATTGCAGGGATAGTATAATTTACTACTAAAAGCATAATTTTGTAAATTCTCTTATACATACAATATTACTCATTAACTAATTAATTTATCTTTTTTTTTTAATTAAAAATAAAAATGATAAATTCGATTCCTTTCCCAATTTTCTTTATCATTTACAACTTTGTGATAAATTTGATAAGCTTTCATACTTTTTTCTTAATTTAATTACTATTATCTTTCCATGGTAGAAAAGAAAGAAATTCGAATTGCATATTTTTAAACTTTGAAAACAACACTTAAACGTTTATGGATATTAATTAAATAGGAATTAATTAATGAATAATACCTAAATTGTTCAATAAGAACTAAATATAACATTCTTTCTTTTTTTTTCTTCTCTTTTCTCTCTTTTTCCTTTTTCTATTAATACATCCTAATTCTCTTTCCTATTTTCATTTTCTTTTTTTTCCCCCCCCTCTTATTTTATGTTTCATTTGGTGCTATTCAATCGTTTCGATGAACAATTGTCATTTTGTTTTTCTTTTTTAAAATAATTTATTTTAATAGAATAGAATTCAATTTATCATTTACATAACGTTGATGATAATAATGATAATGATAATAATGGTAAATAATGGTGATAATTATAGTGATAATAATAATGATTATGATAATGAATGTATGAAATATATTGTGCTTTTTTTTTTTCATTTCTTACCGTTAAATGATCATATTTTTTATGCTAATCATAATTTTTGATTATCATCATTTGTTTATCATTTATCAGTCAATGATTTTTGATAGATTTGATAAGACTCCATCCATATATGTATATTTTTCTTTTTTTTTTTTTAATTTAATTGTTATCAATTTTTAATTAATTCTTTTTATGCTATATTATCCATTTATTCATTGCCTATCGTTCTTTCCTTTTATTTTAGTTTAATAAAATCTATGAAATATTTCTCTCTAATTATACATACATATGTACAGACAGACATACACACACACACACATACACACATATACACAGCATACACACACATACACACATACTTGTATACGTACATACATGCACATACATGCATACAATTATATGCATATGCATATGTGCATACATACATATATACACACATACATACGTACATTATGTGCATACATACATACATTATATGTATACTCACATACGTACATTATGTGCACACATACATACATACATACATACATACATTATATGTATTCTCACATGCATACATTATATGCACACATACATACATACATAGATACATTATATGCATAACACATAGATAGTATAGATATATTTATCAGATTAAAGTAGACCGACGGCATCGATAAATTAGCAACTAATCTGTCGTTAGCTTATTTCATATGAAATTTTTCATTTAATTAGTGAAAGTTGAACTAAACTATAATAATAATATATATATATATATATATATATAGATATATTATTACTCATTCAGTATATCACATTCATTTATCTCTCTTTTATCATTGCCGCTTTTTAATTACAACCTTTCACTAAATTAAACATTCTTTCAAATATTTCTATTACAATTATATAAATTTGATTCTGACATTTTTAGTAAAATAAATGAAACATTTGAATCATTAGTTATTTATTTTATTATTCGTAAAAAACTATATTTGCTATAATTTTATTGCTAATTCATTCACCTGTAATTAATAATAAATTAAATACTAATTAAAAATAAGTAGTCCATTAAAATTAACAAATTTTATAATTACCAAATAATTAAACAATTCGCAGAATCATTTATTTCCTTTCAAACATTCCGATTTTTAATAATATAATTTAAATTTTATTTTATTATACAATTTATTAAAATATTACAATTTTTGAAATTATTTAATGGAAATCTTTATTGTTGCCATTAATCCTCCTTTTGTTTTAATAATTAATTATATTTTGCACCAAACTTGCAATAATACATTTTCATTTCAATGAAATTTATATTTTGCATTTTAAATATTTAAAAATGATAAGACAACAAAAGAAAAATGCAAATTATTTTTATATCAAAAACATACTTTAAATTAACTGATAATATTGTTGTGATAATCAAAGAAGAACAAAAAGCAAAGTCAGAAATATTTGAAAATAAGTTTTAGCGTAGAAAATAAAAAAATAAATGATAGAAATGAAATGTAAGTTAACATTTTAAATATCGTTTGTATAATAATTAAAATAATAAAAGCATTATAGCCTTAGCAATATATAATGATAAAAAATTATCACTATTGTCTTTAGAATTAAAATAATAAAAGCATTATAGCCTTATCAATATATATTGATAAAAAAGTTATCACTATTATCTTTAGTGAATGATAATAAGAAATGTAATGCTGCTAATTTTAATTTATAATATTTAATCATTCTTCAACAACAATTGAAGAAATTATTTTCATGTACGAAGAATAATTGAAATGATCACATTAAAATGATTATTATATTTATCAAATATTTTATTTTAAAATTCATAACATTTCTAAAACTAAATTAATAAAGTTAAAATTTGATAAAGGATAATTTTTCGTTGACTAACTTATATTGTTAATATTAGATGGAATTCAAATGAATCCAAAATATATATGCCATATCTAATTATTATATGAGAGAAAGAGCCTTCTGGATATTCATCCGATAAATTAATAAGCCAAGAGCCAAGAGGCTATGAGCCAAAAGCTTTCTCATATGGTTAACCTCATTTTACATTTTTTTTATCATAATAAATTCATTTATGGAAAAAGCAATTTCTTCTTCTTTTAAAATTTATACTTATCATTTTTGTTTACAAATTATTTTTTACTTTAATTTAATAAACAAATTTTTTTCAATGATTTATTTGTTTATTTTCATTTATTGAAGAGAATGGTATTATTTTCATTGTTATTAATAGAAAAACGTTGAAAGTTCAATTACTAAAACGATCTTTTGTTTTTGTGTATTTTTTTGCTTGGATAAGAAAATTTTAAAAGAATAACATATGTCTTTGAATATATCTTCTTCATCCTTCAAATTTCCAATCGTAAAAATTTCACTCAATTCTTTAACTTATACTTTCTAACACAGATTATTTAGATAATTCTTTTTGAATAATTTTTTTACTTAATTTTTTATAAATATATATTATCTTGAAATATATATTTATTTTGATCATCTTTATCACTTCTACTTATTTTTGATCATCTTTATCACTTATATTTATTTTGATCATCTTTATCACATTTTTTTTTTTGATCATCTTTATCATTATATTTGTTATGATCATCTTTATCACTTATATTTATTTAATTATTCAAAAATCATTTACAACATTTTTTGTTTCATATTTATTAATATTTGATGAAATAAAATTTCTTATAATTTTTTATTCAATTTCGTTCCAATTTCAATTCTTCAAAATTGATTGAATTATGTTAATTATATGTATAATTTGATTATATAATTGATTAAATATTTATCGATGCTATATAAGCTTCATTCGTTGTTAGCATAATTTTTATATAAATCAAATTATTTTAAAATAATTTTGTCTGTTGCTTTCTTTTTTTAAGATTAAGAAAAGAAAGAAAGAAGGAGTGAAAAAATTTTAAATTTAAAATAAAAAAAATTAACAAATTATTGCATAAGAAAGATATTGAATAAAATTAGATCAAAGTGATACAATGATTCAGTGATAGAATTGGTGTAAAACAATATGGTAACTAATTATAAGTTTGATAACAGTCTACTTTCTCTAAGCTTGATGACAGTCTGCTCTCTCTAAGTTTCATGACATTCTGCTCTCTTTATGTTTGATAACATTCTACTACCTGTGCTGTTAATTTCAATAACTTAATATATTATTTATATTTTCACTGTAGGAGAAACTATCGTTACTTTGAAAAACTTAAAATTTTTCACCTAAGAAATTTATCAAAAAAAAAAATTACTTATTAAATTATTTTATAGTTTAAAAATCATAAATTTTTCAATACAATGCGAATTTCTCAAATTTTTTTCATTCGATACAACAATACTGATTTTAATTTCCAATAACTACTATTAAGTTTTCATATTATTTTCTTACTTGCTAATGCATTATAAAATTGTATTATTTGATTGTTAAGGTATTAGCAGATAATTAGGATGATCTCGCTATTGAATATGAAATTTTACTTAATGGTTGAGACTGTATTATTGCATAATGGAAATCATA